TATCTTTTTACAATTATGCTAAATAATTGTTGTCCTCCTCATACTTGGTAATTTCAGAAACTTACACTTGCTTCCATATAATGCGAACTGCTATGCTTATATATATATATATAAACTGCTATGCTTATATATATATATATATACACTCACTCAATAATTAAAAAATTGATCATTAATATGTTTTTAATTTTGACACCTAATTTTCTGAAAAAAATAAATTTGAACCTTTTCGGCATAATTAAATTTCTTTTGTTTTTGGTTCAAATGAAAATTCATTCTTTAGATATATTAAAAAATAAAATTTATTTGATATCTTTCAAACTAACCAAAATAATTTTAAAAGCATAAAAGTAATATAATTCTAATATTTTCTAATTAAAACAATTTATTTGATATCTGGGCCAAGATAAGTAAAAGACTGGCCACCAACCAAGAAAATGAGAAAGGAAAGCGTTTGAAGCATCAGGAAAAATTATACAATAAAACCCTTAAGATAGCCAACCAACAGCAGATAAACTAAACAAATATTCCCAAGTGAGTCCTATAAATTGTCATCTCTCTCTCCAGCAATTTTTTTTTTTTTTTTTTTATTTCAAAAACTATCCAGCAATTTTTTTTTTTTTTTTTTGAATTTCAAAAACTATATTCATATTTTTATCTAGTAGTTATCTATTACAGTAACTTTTATAATTAGCCCCCAAAAACTATACACAATTTAATAAGAATATGGTAGACAATTTAAGGATTTGATGCAAAAAGAAAAAGAACTATATTTTAGAAGATACCAAAAAGAAAAAGTAGATTTTTTTTTTTTGAGACCGAGAAAGTATTAGCTTAATATTCCATATAAATATTCTATATGGAATCGGTTTCACTATATAAGGAGTCAAAACATGAGTTAGAACTTGGAAAAACCTTCCCCTTAAATGCAAAAAATTCTCCCATATGGCACTCGAAGTTTGGGCACTTGACGGAGCATTTTAGCTAGATTTGAATTACTCAGTACTCCTAGAATGGATGGTTCATTTTCTAACAGTAGACATTAAACCAAGTCAGTAATGACAATGCATATAAGCAAAATGTAGATAATGTAACTCCAACACTGCAACGTAGGAAGCATATAAGCGCAGACCACACATTGTCGACAATAAGGATAACTTGCATTTGAAATAACTTCAATCACCTCAAACTTTTCTTTCCTACACAGTGTAATCTATTCCAGAGGCTGCAATTTGGGATGTTGGAGGGACAAGGTTCCCCTTATCATCATTTGGTCCAACCTTGGCAATGATCTTCTCGTCTATGGCAGCCATATAGTGATCAGCATCACTGGCTAGAGTACGCAGAATGCTGTTGGGTCTGATTTGATTCCTGGTTCTGACTTCAATAAGTTTCAAAATCTCCTCTTTCAGACCCAAGTCAAAGAAGTGATCATAGAACTGTTGCAAGAAAAAACATAGGGAAAAGATTACTGCATGGAAGAAATGCCAACTCCTCTTGTTTAAACAACAATGTAATGGCAACAACAAGGAACAAGTGCAGAGGAAAAATCTCACTAGTTTCTTGGTAAGGCCCTATTTGATATGTAAATGAATTCGATAAAATATTGTGAAGATCATTTGAAATTTTATGTTTTCATGTTTGATATTAATGGACTTTCGTCTAACTACAATAAAATAAATTTTTATGCAATGCAATATATCTCAAGTAGACCTGCGCTGTATTCTCAATGAATCCTTGATATCATTTATAATGAGATTTTGAAAGAAAAGCAAGAGTAAACCAGAAGTTGAGAAATTACTATTGATGGGATCCCTGGATGGGTGAGAATATAAACATATCCCTGCATGATTTTGTCCGGTGGGAACGGCCAATGATTTTGTGCGGAATCTGTATCATGATTGTCGATAAAAGTGACAGCATTCACCGGCAACAACCCAATCACTCCAGGAGCTCCTCCACTAGAGCCATTCAGTCGCCACAGCTCACCTTCAACTGCTATTTGTAATATTCCTTTAGTTGTAATCAAACGCCATGACATCCCTTCTGGCACCTTGGATCCATCCCACAATGTCACACCGATGAGCATCCTGGTCGTATTATGGCTTTCCATCATTTCCATAAGCAAGATCCTTCCATATTTCCCCCACTGCAAAACTTGGCTTTTTGTTTGTCATTTATATCTTTGTAAAAGCAGGTGAATATCCTCCGGGCAAAATCAAATCGCCACCCATCAAAACCAATTTCATCCTTTAACCAAATCATCCAATCTGATAACACTCTTTGCACACGTGGGTTTACATGATCAATGTCTGGAGCAGGATTAAAGTCTGCTCCAGTGTCAGGGTTTCCTTTTCCATCAGAGTAAAGAGTGTCATCACTGCAAATGAACGATGGTCCCCAGTCAAGTCGATCACCAGGAGTTCCCCCTTCAAAGATTGACCATATTCCTCTATTGTCTTGCTTCTCTGCACACCTATGGTTTATAACTATATCTGCTATGCGTTTGGATCCCATTCTCATGGAAGGCCCTCATTAAAGTTTTAAATGCATCTTGGTTTCCATACTGTGATGCATTGAGATCATAGAGCCTTCCAGGCAGATAACCTTAAGCAAAAATGAGAGAAATAATTCAAGCAGCAATTTTTTCCTAACAACCTATTGCATACCATCTGGCATAGCATTGCCGGGAAAGCCAACTGCCAAAAAATTTGGCTTATATTCATACACATGGTTATTCAACTTTCTGGGTTTCCAGTTCAGAAAATGTCAAGCTATATCAACACTGATTTCATAAAGAATGGAAAGTAACTTTCAAGTGAGACAATTTGAAGTTGAGAGAAAATTTTGTTGCAAGGCTGAAGTTCAGGGGGCTGTTTATATGTAGAAAAACTATAGTAGTTTTCTAGAAAAGTTTTCCCAAAAAATGAAAAACAGAGTTTCGTGTTCAAGTCTGTCAATTGTCTATTTAGAGAACTAGAAACAGTTTTCTAATTTTCCAAAATTTAACTAAGATTTGAAAAACTTTTCATTTTACAAAAAAGACTTTTCATAATTAAAATCATAATATCTACAACTTTCTTTTTTAAAAAAAAAAACATATTTTTATTGAAAAATAATAAAAATATTTAAATAAATAAATTAAATATAAAAAAAAAACATATTTTTATTGAAAAATAATTTAAAAATATTTAAATAAATAAATTAAATATTTTTTATTTTTTAATTATATTATTCTTTAATATGTAATTAGTTTTATTATCACGTAAAAATATATTTACAATTATATATTTATTTTTTTAAAAAAAATTTACAAAATGATAAAAATTGATATTTATTGTTTGTAAATACATAAATAAATAAAAATTTTATATTATTCTTTAATATGTAATTAGTTTTATTATCACGTAAAAATATATTTACAATTATATATTTATTTTTTAAAAAAATTTACAAAATGATAAAAATTGATATTATTGTTGTAAATACATAAATAAATAAAAAAAATTTAAATAAAAAGTTTCTTAATTTATTTTATAATATTTTATTTATTTAGATAATGTTTTTAAAATTTTTGAATTGAAATATGATTTTTTATTATTTACAAGTGAACATCTTTTCTATTTTTTGTTTTCTACTTTTCATTTTTTAAGAAAACTATTTCCAATAAGTAAACACACCCTTAACTTCTCCATTGCTCAAAACAAGGGCCTCAAAATAATAGTAGAAGATGTTTATAACAGAGAACAAAATAATCTAAACAGCAGCATAAGCATATATTTATTGATATATGTGCAAATAGATTGAAAATTAGACTTGAACATATATACATGATAATTTTGACAAACGCTTACCTTCAGCTGAAACAGAATGAGAGGGCGGAGGGAGCCAAACATGCGTAATGCCAGAACTAGCCAATTCAGGAACAGAATTACTTAAAAAGTTGTACCATCCGCCTTCTGTTTTCCATGATTCCCAATTGAATCCCTAATAATCAAAGCCAAAGAATTTACATATTATATACAAGGTATCAACCATGGGAGGGAGAGGAAGAGATGCTTGCAAGAGCAATACTTTTCGACCTGAAACAAAACCTACGATGATGTCAAGTTGGTCAAGAAGGAAAGGGCCAGCAGAAAAAAGGAAAGTGATGCATATGTAATACCAATCATTTCCTCTAGTTAGGATTTGAACTTCTTGAGCTTTAATTAAGCATAGTCAAGGAACTCATTCTTATAATACATTAAATCATTATTTGTTCATGTTATCATCATAAAAACATGCAGTTGTGAAAACCTGACTTTGAAGTATTCCTTTGATCCTTTCATACTGTTGACTTTTAATTTTCTTTGTTCTGACTGCCAGGCTTCCCTTCATATGCTTGACTTCACCTTTTCTCTGTTCTGATAAATCTTTACAAGCATTAATCCAGAAAACTTTACAAGCGCTAAAACTTTGCCATAAGTTTCTCATCTTTCCCTAGCTCCACCGGTGACTCCTCATGATACAGCATCCTTTGTTCTTGCAACATCACTGCAGAATCCTGCTTCAAAACTTTTCAGAGCAATGAATGCTAATAGTAAGTCACAAAAACTCTTATCTTTTATGTTTTCACCAGGCAATCAAAATCTGGTCTCCAGTCTCCGCATTCACAAACTTCACTGAAGAAGCCACAATGACAAGGCTGATAATACTACCATTTCAGCTGTCCAAGGGTCCGTTTGATACAATGGTTACAGTTAGCTGTTGACAGCTAATGATCAGCAGCTAAACATTAGATGCAAATGCTTAACTGCTAGAAAGGTTAATTTTGTAACCTCTAACCATGTTTACCAAACACCCCAAATTAGTGGCTGGGAAATCAATCGCCAAATGCCAACCCCATCGCCCTCTCTTTTCTCCAAGAAAAAGAAGAGGCTTAAAAACACAACATAAGAGGGCCAAAATCAGTTCTTCTCCTTACTTAGAAACATTTAATGAATGACAAGATATACAAGAAATAAAGAAAGAGTGGAATATACTAATATATTCAAAATTGAGAATATTAAATAGTAATTCATTCCTCTGATCAGTCAAAGTACATGCAATAACAACATCAGAAAAATTACAACAGAAAACAGAAAGACTACATGTTACCCAGTAATCATGGTTCCAATACCTTCCTCTGACATAATCTCATGAAGCAAAGAATGTTCAACTCTACCATCAATAATACTAGCAGTCCTCACTCCTTGAGCAAGTGACCGTACACAACAATTCACCTTAGGAATCATTCCACCAGCAACTTTCTTTTCTTCAATTAATTTTTTCACTCCCTTTATATCAATCTCCTTTACCAAACTCTTTGGATCATCTTTATTCTCCAATATCCCCGCCACATCCGTCAACAAAATCAACTTCTCCGCTCCCAAAGCCGCTGCCAATTCCCCTGCCACCGTATCAGCATTGATGTTGTATGATTGGCCGGACTCATCCGCCGCCACAGATGCAATCACGGGAATGTGGCTGTTATCGATAAGCGGCTGTAGGATAGTGGAATCAACTCGGGTGACTTCTCCGACAAAGCCCAATTGAGCGGAATTAGGGGTGGGTCGAGCCATAAGAAGGCGGCCGTCCATACCGGAGAGACCAACCGCGGTGGCCCCTGCTTTATTAATTAGAGATACTAAATCCTTATTAACCTTACCAACTAAGACCATAGACACAATCTCCATGGTCTTAGCGTCAGTGACCCGAAGACCCTCGTGGAAGAGAGGTTCAATATTGAGAAGTTTGAGCCAGTGGTTAATCTCTGGCCCACCCCCGTGGACAAGCACAGGACGGAGACCAACGCAAGAAAGGAGAACGAGGTCACTTACCACAGAAGCCTTAAGCTCAGGAACTTTCATCGCGGCACCACCATACTTGACGACGATAGTTTTCCCCCTGAATTTCTGAATATAAGGAAGGGATTCCGATAAAATGTCAACCCGGAAGCGATCGGGAGAGTCCGGCGGGGAAGCAGAAGTCGCTGTTTTGTGGGTCGCCGGCGATGATAAAGAAGATGCTGCTTTGATAGTCAAAGAAGGGACGGTGTTGGGAACAGAACGAGGCAAAAGGAAACTGAGATTAGAAGTCTTGAGATTTTTGAGATTTGGAGATTGAAAGGAAGATGAAAGAGAACTTGAAGACGATAGATTGAAGGGTCTGGATGCCGCCGCCATTTTCTTCACCCTCCGCTTCCTTACTATCAGAGCTGTGAGTGGATTTTATAGGATGAGTGGTGATCTAATCTGCAGAACAGCAGAAGTGGTGATGGAACATATTCTTTCGCGAAGGCTAGCGTACTGAATGCTTTTCTTTTTTCTTTTTTTTTTTAGGGGAAACTGAATGCATTTCTCAAAAATTATAAATAAAATTATACACATAAATCAATTATGAATAGTTACATAAAAATATGGGAAAATTACGGTAATCTGTAGTACTTGAAAATGCAACTACTCAATCCTTGTATTTTTATAGATAATAATTCACTTCCGTTAAGACATCTATGTCATTGGGTCCAATTTGTTTCTCAAAACCCATTAAAGGAAGGTAAAAACAAAAGATCACACACTTTCTCAAACTCTTTATAACTAGAGGTACTCCCTCCTGCCCCGGCCTATTTTTCTTGGGCCTACCCAGATTCTTCTTCAATTGAGGTGGCCTGATTTTTTCACTCTCAGGCCTTGGTTCAAATTGTGTCTCAAGTAATGGATGGATGGCCTCACTGCCTGAAAAATCAGAGGGAGTATTTGGTAACTAACTTAGAGAATTTAATTTAATCAAATAAATAAATTTTTTGTTTAATCTTAATGGAATATTATTATATTCTTAACACTAGGAATAAATAAATTTTATGTTTAATCTAAATAAATTATAGTTTTTATAATTTAGATTTATAGATTTATAAATTAACTGTAATTGTTTAGTAACAGTGATTATTATAAGCTTACAAGTTTTTCCTCCGGATAACATTATCATAAAATATCTTAAAGAGATGAATATTCTAATTAGGAAAATTTTGATTTTATTTATTGATTAAAATTGTACAAAATTTTTATTTAAATTGATTATTTTAGTTTCATTAATCATATTATTTTTTTAATTAACAAATCCTGTTTCATTATTTTGCCGTTGCTAAGAGTTGGCAGACGTTCCACAAACGTGTTAGAAACGGAATTTGTTTCCGTTTCTAACGTTATAACCTAAATTGATTTTTCTTTCTGTGCTCAGAGTAGGTTCGACAAACGAGTTAGCAACTGAATTTTTAAAACCTATAACCAAAATTCTTTGGTATAACCAAAACTATTTGCTAAAATTATAACCAAAATTCAGAACTTATTTTCACTGCATGTCTCTTCTCCACTATATATTTTGGTATACTTGCACTTCCTTTTTTCTTTTCTTACCCCTTTTATTTTATATTTTATTAATAAAAGTTTAAATTTTATTTGGATGGTAAGATTAATATTTGTCAAGATAATATCTTTTTATTTTTTTTAATTTCAAGAATTTTAATGGAAGTAAGATAGCCATGAAAATTTCAATATTCAAATTATAATATAATAAATCATAATTTTTTGCATGTATAAGAATTCTAATATATATATATAAAAGGGAAAATGAGGAGGGAATAACGTGATTCCCGATAGTGCCCTTAATGAAATTTAAGATATGCTAAAATAATCTTATTTATGACCAATTATAAAATTTTAATATTTAAGTTTAATATTTTATTGTAATTTTAAATATTTTAACTAGGAGAAAGATAAGGACAAGAAAAAAAATAAAAATAAAAATATTTTTCAACATACATTTTCACATAATTAAACTTTTAAAAATTTTTAAAATAAAAAAAAAAACCTTGACCTGAATAAAATAAATATGTAAATTTATTTTTAATTTTTTACGAATTAAAAAGTTTGACAAAGCATTATTTTGAAACAAAAAACCTTGACCTGAATAAAATAAATATACAAATTATTTTTAATTTTTTTACAAATTATAAGCCTTGACAAACCCATTATTTTGAAATGAAATAATGAGAGTATTTATATAAATAATGAGAGTATTTTGATTTTATTTATAATTTTATATATAATTTTCTTTCAAATGCTCTCATTTGTATAATGAACATGTACTTTATTCATTCTAATGTGTTTGAGTATTTTAATGCCATTTGAAAAGAATATTTAGAAAAAATGAGTAAGTGTTTGGAAAATTATATGGATTGTGAATAGGATGGTGTTAAACATAGATTTGTTTAATTAATATCTTCCTCCTATAAATTTGTTTAATTAAAATTTCTTTCCTATGGCCAAAATAAACAGATACATATGATGGTACGCTTTTTAAACCTAACAATCCTATTATAAGGGTCGGACAAAAATGAATGTGTATAATATTTCTCAATCTTGCTAATGACAACTTAAAAATATGTTATTATTCACTAATTAATCGAAATCAATAAATAATTTGAATAAAAGCTGGTGAGGAACTTAAATATGTGTGTAGATAAATAATAGGTTTGCTAATATTATTAAAAATATCTAAAAAATATTTTTAAAAGAATTTAATAAAATAATAATAATAAATAATGAAGATTTTTAGTTTTTTATTTCTATGTGATTTTTTACAATTTGATTGGATATATCTTTTTAAAGTAATTTTTGAATAGATATTTTTATATAATTAAGTCATTGAAAATTTTAATTTTTGAATAGTATCTACCATTTTATATATAATCAATTCTCATATATATCTAAATCTATAACGTGTATAAATGTGGGAAAAAAGAGGGAATAATGAGTTTATCAAATTAATATTTTAAATATATTAAGACTTAAATTAATATTTTTTAAAATTAATTTTTTAAGTAGACATGTAAATATATTAAGACTTAAATTAATATTTTATAACAATAGTATGTTGTCAGTATATTAACCTTATTCTCAATATAAATCATGTTTTAACAATATTATAAAATTTAGATAATGTAAGAAAAAATTATAATGAATATTTTAATATTAGAATAAAAATAAACCAGTATAAACGAGTAAATACTGAGCAATAGCAACGTGTATATATATAAGTGTGAATGAGGGAGGAACATTGAGTTCCTAAAACGCATCTATAGATTTTTAATTTATTGGTTGATTGAATAACAATTTAGTCTTATTCTAATTAGAAAACTTTTAATTTCTTATTGATATTTTATTAGTTGATTAATTAAAAATATCATTAAAAATAATTTAATCCTATTTTAATTAGGAAACTTTTGAAATTCCTATAAAAATACTATGATTTAATATCTTATAATTTAAATATATTATAATGAAAGACATTAAATTTATTAATCCCCTATTGGTAGCTTTTTTTATTAATATTATAAATTTAATCTCATTCTAATTAGGAATTTGACTTAATCTTATTCTAATTATGATATCAATATTATAAATTTAATCACACTCTAATTAGAAATTTATCTTTTAATATTATTCTAATTAGGATTTTGTCCTATCATACCACTATATATACATTTGGTTCTTAATCTTTTCTAATTATGATATCAATATTATAAATTTAATCACCACTCTAATTAGAAAATTTATCTTTTAATAATTAGAAATTTATCTTTTAATATTATTCTAATTAGGATTTTGTCCTATCATACCACTATATATACATTTGGTTTTAATTGCTTTTGAGTTTTGATTATCAAGAATTTATTACTTTGACTATCACGAATTATTACATTAAGCTTTGTTAATTTAGAATTATTAAGTTTTTAATCGTGTCTTCTTTTTGCGGTAAGTATAATTTTAACTTTCACTATTTATAAATTAATAGAATAATTTTTATTTATATTTATTAAATATGTTCTAGCAGTTATAGGAAATTTAATCTAATTCTAAATAGGAAATTATTAAAGATTTTAATTTTATTGCTTGAAAAACAAAGCTAATTTAATTATTAAGGATTTTAATAATTTAAATATATATTTTATTGAATAAAAGAAATAAATTATATTAATATAGTTATATAAGTAATATATTATAGTAACAATTTAAAACTATTAAGGATTTAATTTTATTGGTGAAAATAAAGCTAATTAATTATTTAAGATATAAATTTTCTATTTTAAATTTAATATGATTTCATATTGGAATAGAATAATAAAATTATATTATATATATATAAGATATATAAGGTAAGAATATAAAACTTTTAAGAATTTTTAATTTATTGGTTGAAAAAAATAAAGGTTAATTTATTTTTGAATAAATAAATTCATTAGTTCAAAAAAGTAGTCAATAAAATATCTGGACTTTTTGTGAATATGGTTTATATTGTTAACTACTAATTAATATTAAATTAATACAAAACATTTAATAAACTAATCAAAATATAATAAGATTTTCTAATAATAATAAATTTATATAAATAAACTATATATATAATATAGTATTATATATATTATTATATAATTCAAATATATTAGAAATCAGTAACCGAAAAAATCTATCCAATTTTTTAATTAGGAATTAAAATTACCACTAATTATAAAGAAGTTTTTGAAGTTGAATCCAACATTAAATTTATTATATTATAATAAATATTTACTAGCAAAAGGATTAATTAAAAAGGACTTAATTATTTTATATTAAAAATTTAATAATAATTAAATTTATAAATTATAAATTGAAATTCTTTTTTTTTTCTCATATTTCATTTTGTTTGCTTTGTTAATATTATTAGCTACATTTTGTCTTATGATTCTCTTGAAGGTATTAATTATTTTATCCTTAATCTGCTAAGTAAATTTCTTGATCAATTTTCAATTAGTATAAATATGTTAATTTTTTTAAAAAAATTATTTATATTATGATTATAATTTTTTAACATTTAACGCTTCTTCTTTTAAGTTGTTGTATGTTTTTAGTTTAAAATTTTCTTATACTTTGATTTTAAGATGACATCTATTATTATGATAATAAAGGACAAATATTTAAATTATAACTCAATTGAAAATTAAACCTATCAAATAACTATATTTTCTTTGGCTACTACCGAGAATTTTTTTTGCTTTTATTATCAATACGTCATTGAAGACTCTCTACTATTAAGAGGTTTTTTGCTATTACTATATCGAAAACTTCTTACTTTATTATTATTAATGAAACAACCCGAATTTTTATTTTCAAAGATTTTCCAATTAAATTTAATAAACCAACAGTCTGGAAATGTGTTTAATTAATTAAATGCAAATTAATAATTGAAATGTGTTTAATTAATTAAATGCAAATTAATAATTCTTACAGTGATAAACCAAATCGAAAACCAATTGAAAAATCAAAAATCAATGGAAAACCATGATTTGAACCGAACCAAAAATTGAATCGAACCAAACCACCCAAACCCTTCTAGAATTTTCCCTTTTTCTTCATATTTCCAGCGCTGGCTCCATTTCTCCTTAAGCTTATCTGCGTTTTTTTTTCCAGTCACCGGCGAACCACCTGCGCCATCAACACATTGCCGGCACCATCCCTCTCTCCTCTTCCTCTTGCTCTCTTCCTCTGTCCCTGTCTTAGGCTAGCGCGAAGACCACAGCAGAGCCGCAGCGAACCGCGACGCCACCAAGTCGAGGCGAACCTCTGTTGCGCGCCACCAGCTGCTCCTCAGCCAGATCGCGCTGCCGCTACACAGCCCCTTCTCCGGCCTTCGATCGAACGAGCGCAGCACCACCACAAATTCCAGCTCGTCGCACCGCCACCATCGCCTCGATCTGTTGTGCCACAGCTCCACCATCGCTCCATTGCGTCTCCGGCAGCCAGGAACAGGCTCTGCGAGCCTCTGTCGCACCACCAGCGATCTTCTTCTTCCTCCAGCAGGTCTGTTCCGCCTTGCCTGCGGCCACAGTTCGGTTGCCGCTGCTCTAGAACGATTCCGGCCACCCACTTGCAGTTCCAGTGCGCATAACTCCGATCCGGCACGTGTAAATCTCCGATCTAGCGAAATCCGACAAGAAAAAAAATTATACTTGGGGTATAAATCAATTTTTGCTAATTCTCAGAATTTATTTTAGTAATTTGGGTATAATTTAATTTAGTAATTTTAGTAATCTTGATTAGTTAATTTAATTTAGCAAGTTTGATTAGTTAAATTAATTTAATTTAGTGTTGATCTACTGATTAATTAACATCCTTGATTGATTAAAATGAAATTCTAGTAATAAATGAAATTGTTGGGAAAGTATGATTTATGGAATTAAAGAAGAAAAATTTATGAATTAATGTTGATATGGAGGATATGGAGGATGGGAATAATTGACCGGATTGATTGCCCGATGGATGGGTTGTAAGAACTTGATAGATGATTGACCGAGTTAATTAGGTGGATAGTTGAATTTTAAGGGAAATGTTGTCGAAATTTCGGTAGAAAATAAAATTAATTATAAAAATTAAATTACTTATAGAAATTAAATTTCGGTAGAAAATAAAATTAATTATAAAAATTAAATTACTTATAGAAATTAAATAATTTATAGAAATTAAAAATATAGAATAAGATTATTAGAGTGAGAAATAAATATTTTGTCTGATGTAATTATTTTTCGATGTCAGTCTTAAATTCCTTAGATCGCTCGGGTCTGTCTAGTGCTCCTCTCGGACATAATCAAAGCTAAAGCTTCGTTCTCCACCACTGTGAGTAATAATAAATAATGCATATCAACAGTGTATTTGCATAATATTATATTTTTATATATTTACATATTTACAATATATTATAAGTATTTTCTCATAAATATTATGTTATGATCACTATAATTATACTTATGCATAATTGTGCATTTGGATGAAATTGGTGTATTATGATAAATGAATTGTTTGATTATTTTGTATTATGTTATGATCACTATAATTATACTTATGCATAATTGTGCATTTGGATGAAATTGGTGTATTATGATAAATGAATTGTTTGATTATTTGTGATGTGTATATACTGTGCTCTGTTTGTGTGGAGTTGGAATGAAGTGGGTCACCATGGGTTTGTGAGGACGGTCGATAAATATGGATCTTGATGAAATTATGAAATTGGACCGTCGGTCGGGTAAATGGGAGATCGGCGCCCCCGTGTGCACCGGATGATATGATATGGATGATATGGAAAAGAAAAGAGAGAATGTAAAATAAAATTGAGAGGACTGGTCAAGTGAGGATTAGACCGGTTGGCCAATTATGGGGGATTGGCTCCCCGGGTGCACACGTTTGAGAGGATGGGCTGTTTGAGAGGACGGTTCGTCTGGGGTTTAGGTGACGTCACTGATTGATTTCCACGTGATGTGACTATTTGAAGGTGATATTGTTTGTGGGTGCTGATATGATGGCATATGAGTGACTGTTGTGTGTTTATTCAATATACTAGAGTGCATTTTGCTTGCCTGTATGTGATGTGTATTATTTATTATTATTCACTGAGTTGCAAAACTCACCCTCCCCCCAACAAATCTCTCAGGTACTAGGAAGTAGCCGGTTCGATTGAAGCTCTGCAGTCTTCTCCGCAGAGTTACAAATGTAAAATTTATATTTTTGTTATTTAAAATGGGTTGTATAAATTACTCTACTATCAGATTATTGTTGAACTCCGCAGTTATAGAATTGTGTATATTAAATTGGGTCTTACCGTACACATCACGCTAAAAATAATTTATCGTGTAATTAATTACAGGTGAACTAGTATGCCCATATTGCGAATATAATTTAATGTGAATAGGCCCTGGTTAAATTTTATTGATGAATTGAGATTGGGCCAGATTGATTAATATATTGATAAATTTATACCTAAGTTATATGGGCTTAATGTTCATATGAAATCGGATGACATATATAGATAGAACAAATTAGGCTTACTACGGGTCTCGGGGGCTTTAAGCTTATCTGGGTCCTAGTGTCGGTCCGGCTCATGGAAACGGGTCGTGACAATTAATGATTGAGGTACTAATTTTAACTTTTAAAATTTTTTTTTTATTTTGGTATACTATAAAAAAAAATTTTGAATTTGATTACTAATAATTTATATATGTATTTATTTTTATATATAACGAGATCTTAGATCAGACGGTTATTTATTTTCAACTTTGTAATTATTCCATTTTGTCAAAAAAAATCCATTGTAAAAACTTATTTAAATTTTCATCAAATGCTAGATATGTATGATAGTAATTTGCACCCATTTTTATACATATAATAATTATAACTAAAAATATTGAGTTTTATATTGTCTTTGTAAAAATTAATAAAAAATATATAAAAGAATAAATTATAAATAATCATTCTAACATGTATATTCAACGAGTAACAGCGTGCATCACACGATCTTAGAATACTAATATATATAAAATTCTATTAGATAGGATGTGAGAAATATGTACATTTACATTATGAGACTCCTGACATATGGGATAAGAAATTTTACTAAACCTTTGACCTAAAAGTTTAAATTATAGAACCTAAATCTTAAAATAGTAAACCATAAATTTTAAAACCTTAAAACTTAAATTTTAGATGTTAGAAACTCTAAAGCATTAATCCTAAATCATAAGCTCTAAAACAATAAAATCTTAAAAACTTAAACATTAAACTTTTTTTTTTAAATCATCGGTATCCCGACCCTATTACTAGGAACCGACTAAATCTGGCTCGGAGCTTAGTCACAGTTAAGACTTTTCGCCCCTCCCTGTAGGTGTGTTTAGTGAAAATCGAACCCAAAAGCTCTTCTCATATGCCTAGCCTGTATTATCAATTGAGCTACAGCCCGCAAGTTTAAACATTAAACTTTAAGACCCTCAAATCTAAATTCAAAATCCTATATCTGAAACCCTGAAAAAAATCCTAAAATCTTAAAGATTAAATTTTATTTTTATTATTTTAAGGATGTTAGAAAATGGCGCAACTATAACGGTTTAAATTTTGAAAATAATTACCTAAATTGGGCTATTGCTTCACCTATAGATCAAATCAATAAAAATAAAAATTTTTTAAAAATTGTTCCTATTTTATCATTTTTTTTTCAGGTAAAAAATTCCTTTGTTTCAATAAAATTTTATTAGTTTTGTATATAGGTAGGGCATGAACTCGGTCTAGGTAAGTAAATCCCTTAAATTTTTTCATGAGAAAACCTTAACTAATATAAATATGGAAATTCTTGTGTACATCCGGTATATATTTTGTTGGTCTTATACATCAAGCCAATTAAAAAAATATTTTTTTTAAAAAAGAATATTACTGTTTTTGTCTTTTTTCTTTTCCAGTGTATGATCAGGAATACCCTCGTTTAAAAATACTATTTGTAATTAGTTTGATATATAAATGGGCTCATACCTGTAGATAAGTCTTTCTTATGTACAAGAAAATTTTCCTTTTATGTATTGTTTTTTGGTAAATTCTTGAGAATAACTTTAGTTCAAAAAGATCTTTAATTTTATTTTGTCCAAGTTGTTTAAGGAGTTGATAGTAAAGGTCAAGGGGAGAAATTTTTTCACATCAAGAATCTGCATATAGGTATTTACATATTATCCTCTTTTGCTTGAATGAAAGTTTTAAATATAAATAGAGTTAGATTGTTTTTAATTATTTGCCACCGCTGCAGTGTTTTGAGCACTGAACAATCCGGCGTACATGTCTTATTATTTTTTTACTATTCTTTTTAGAATTTATTATATTCTCATTATTAAAATTTTTTGAGAGGCACTACCCATACTTGCCTGTATAGTCTACTTACTAACGTGAAAAATAAAAAGTTTTAGGTTCAAATTCTGTCTATGATACAAAACTAAAGTCTCACAGTGCGCATATTATTATGCCTCCTGTACAGTTCAGAACTTCCCCAATGAGAAATTTCGCGACCTTCGAACTATTATGGTCACGGCAACCATTCACTGGGATCTCAGTTGCTAGGAGGCTATCATCAGTCACGAAACTTCCTTGACCTTCAGGCACTGAACAGATGTCAACTTCTAGACCTGGTCTTCTTATGACTTTGAGGAGACTCGTGTTTTTGGAAATTTGAACCGTCTTTTTTAAATATATATGGTGCCTTCTGTAAAGTTTTACCGAACAATAGGTGGTTGTGCATTTTTGGTGTTCAAATTCAAGGAACAGCATTGCATCTTCCAAAAAGAGGATCAACTGACTCCACTTTATTTTATTTACTGTGTTCCAAGAAATTATTTTATGTTGACTCCTCTTTTTTATAGCCTCATTCCATAAATTTTTGTTATAGAAAGTGACAAATGTCAAATTTGGACTGGTTAAATGCGATTGTCACAGGTATGAAATTGCTACTCGTCAAAAGATAGTTATAATCATCTCTAGGAGTTTGGCTTTTAAGAAAAAGCAACAGAAATGGAATCAGGAAAGCAATATTACAAGACTCAATAGTCTATAGAAAAAAAAAATTTTTTTATGAATTACTAAACTTATAATATTATGAATAGTTTATATTACTAAAATTGAAGAGCATTCAGAAAAAAAAAATCTATTTTATGAAATAATAAAATAAAAAAATAACAATTTTTTTCGAAGTGAGGATAAGTTGTTATTACGTTTTAAATTTATAATATATATATTCTATAATAATTAATGTAATAATTATTGTCTTAGAGCATCATTTTATAATTTTGATATAATTCTTTTCTTTTTTACTTTTTAGTAAAGTCTATGAGGATATAATTAATTTTTCGGTTGTTGTTTTTGAAGAAAAAAAATTTCTTTCAACGTGTTATATCATGGTTTTATATTTTATATATATTTCTCGTAAGTTTTATTAGAAATTGAAATTCAGAGAGAGCAAAATATAATTTTTTTTTATATTTTAAAGAGGTGAAATAGATAATTTTTCAAATTTCAATAATATTTTTCCCATTAATTATTTATTTTTTAAAAACTATGGGGACGATGGTTCCTATACTTAAAGAGGTGAAAAATAGATAATTTTTCAAAGATTTTCAATAATATTTTTCCCATTAATTATTTATTTTTTTAAAAAAACTATGGGGACGATGGTTCCTATTACTATTGGTAAGTTCTGCATTTTACATGCCAAAAATTGGTTGAAAGGGCTTTAATTCATTATCACAAGTTGTTGGAAATTGATGAATGGCACTAGTCAAAAGATGGTATAATAATTATCTGAAATATATGTTTTTTTTTCTTTTTTTTTTGGAAAGGGTTATATTACTTCCAGTCAAAAGTGCCATTAGTTCTTTTTATTAAAAAAAAATAATTAGTGGAATCCAACTAAAGCAATACTTTATTGTAAAGTTTAACATGGTTCAAATTGGATCATTCCTACTTAGAACAGGGAAAAAGCCCCAAAAAAAGGAAGCTTTTTTTAGTTTAATAAAATATAAAAAAATTTCTTTTTCTTTTAGAAAAATATTTTAAAAATTTCTATTATATAGGATATGAGAGAAAGCGGGCATGGACTCTACGATTGAGTGTCCCGAGACATCCAGCACCTTTTTCTAACACGATTAGTGGAATCACAACTAAAGCAATACTTTCATTTGTCAAAGTCTTGAACATGGTTCAAATTGATCATTTCCTACTTAGAACAGGAAAAGCAAAAAAGGAAGCTTTTTTTTTTAGTTTTTAATAAAATATTATATATATTTTAAATTCTTTTTCTTTTTAGAAAAATATTTTAAATTCTATTATATAGGATATGAGAGAAGGGCATGACTACATGTGTCGAGACTCCCGACTGATGAAATATAATTAAAAATAATGAAATTGTACTAAACCTTAGATCTTAAATTTTAAATTTTGAACTCTAAATCCTGAAATAGTATATCCTAAATTTTAAAACCTTAGAGTCTGTTCGGCATAATTAGAGCATTTAACTGTTAGTTATTTTGGTAGTATTTTATAAAACCCTACAAGTTAAACATGGGGTAACTTCTTATAAAAGGTTACTTGCAAAAACTACTGAGCATTATAAACAATCGTATTTATAATATTTATAAACACTAAAAACTATTTAAAAAACTGTTGCTGAACACAGTGGTGATAGATCTTAATGAAACCTTAAATCATAAAAAATTAAATCCTAAAACTCTAAAACGGGAAATATTAAGAACTTAAACACTAAACTTTAAAATCTTAAATTAAAATCTAAATGTTCAAAAAAAATCTTAAAATCTAAATTCTAAATTCAAAACCCCTTAAAAAATCTTAAATTTTAATTTTATATTATTTTTAAGGGTGTCCTGTCGTGTCGTAATTACGGCAGTTTAAATTTTTCCGTGAGGAAAACCTTAGCTAATATACACACATATGTATATGGTTTGGTTTGATTCCGTCCAATTTATGATTTTTGTATGGTTTTCGATTTTCAATCGATTTTTATTGGATTTTCATTTAATTGTGGGTTTGGTTCAATTATATAAATTATACGTGTGCATATAACTGGTTCAATAAATTCAGAGGGTGTTAATTTATTAAATTTTTAAAAATAAAATTTCAGATTATTTCAATCCTCTTATAAAAATTCGTCCTCGAATTTAGATATAAATAAGGTAGGGGCAGTATAATAAGCAAAAAGTATACAAGGGAAATAAAAAGAAAGATAAGTTAAGTTAAATTCAACCAAAACTCATGGAGTTCCTCTAATCGATTGCTGTCAATCAAAAGGAATGATTGTTGCCTAATCCAAACTTGCTTCCATATACTAA